TAGTTTGTCCTTTTATTTAACCAAGTAGGTGACACGCCTACTTGTCATATATGCAGTCTGTGCAGTCTCGCAAAAACACAAATATCTCTTTACTCAGATGTCGTATCGATGAATGGTTTAATGCGTTAAAAACTAGACTCATAGATCTTTAATTTAGTTGATATATAATACCGTAATTCCAAGCATATTGGTAAAAAAGCACAGATATATCTAACCTAATGTTCAACACATTTATGAATGTAACTTATGATGATCTTTGCCAACTTTTGTTCCACAACTCGCTTGACTTCAAACATAACACACGACTATCATACGGCTAAAATAAATTATAACATAACCTCATTTTAATGTTAAGAACGTTAGTTTCACCCCAAAAATACATGTTATAATATTCCCAAATTGTCGACTTTCGACGAAACTTATTTTCTTCTATTCGTTTAACTTCTAAGCCTTCCAACTATCTTGGTACTTGTTATTCATGATCTTAAATATTTTTAACTTCCACGGTAACATGATTAACTTACTTTAGGTACTTTCAAAGATGATCTTATTTCTAAGCTTACATCAATTGACTTGCGACGTACTCTTACGTACGAAAATATGGGGTGTAACAGTGGCGTGCCTAAGCAATTTGTCGCCCAGTTAATCCTATTTCGGTTTAGAGAGGATATTTTAGTTCAGGTCCGCAGATACTCGGTATAAATATAGTGTAAACATATTTTTGAAAGTGGGATCCGACCTAGGAGAGTTTTGGGAGCTACCACGGCTTGAAGACACAAGATTTCATCAATTCTCTTGCCAACAATCAGTGCAATACAGGAGTTTGTATCATAAAGTTGTCTTTGATATTTTTTACGTTCTTAAACTTATTTGAGATGACTTTCTCCATTGTTATGGAGTAGTTTACCACAGGGTTTGACGGATATGGTATTTTGATTGATATTTGTGGATTTAACTCTAGTTTAATTGTGTGACTGCGTTTATAGAACTTTGAATTATTTGCGAATTTATTCACCGGTTTATTTAATCGAAAGAGGAATATTTTGGTGATTATCTTTGCATTATCTAGTTTGATTTAATTTAGTGATTCTTCTAAGTAATCGAAGGAGATTTATGAATTATTGATTAAACCAAGTTAGGAGAATATTCGAGAGACGTTTTCCTAAAGACTAGTCCATTAACGTGTTCTTGCATATCTTCACAGTGTTTTATATTAGTTTATTTTGTAGAGTTCAGATTTAATCGAGAGAGGAATCTTAACCTTACATTTAAGCTAATCAATGAGTGAATTCGTGAGAATCATTAGAACATTGGAAGTGAATTTGAACAGAGTTAGATTCCGAATAACTATCTTTCACCTATCCTGTCGTGACCCTTGTTTCTCATATTATTTACAATCCGTTTTAATTTAGTTCAACGCTCATTCTCAGTGGTCAAGTATAATTAATCGTAATATTAATTTAGCAGTTATTGAATTTGGTAATTACCTCAAATCAAATGTTGATCATCCTGAATAGCGTTAATCCATAAGTTATTTGAACATGGTTAAAATCCAATCTCTCTAGAGACGATAATTTTACTATACTATCTTTGGCTATCGAGCATTAATTTTGTGTTGTATTTTGCGCTCGTCACGGCACTATAATCAATAGTTGTACTATCAGAGAAAAAGAATATAATTTTTTTATGCTCTCTTTTATGAATTTTTTAAAACAAATTACAGTTGTTAAATACTTATGTTTAACATCTCTTATAAATTGACTAATCTTAATCGCGCGCAGCGCGATAACTTCACTAGTTTGTCTAGTATTATCTTGTAACTGATAAATGTATTTTTCTTCCTTTTCTCCATTAATATTTGTTGAGCAGTTTAGTATTAATATTGGTATTTTTTCTTCTTTTAGCAAGAGCAATATTTGTTGAGATTTGTCATAGGTATGATACTAATAAAGGGTGAAGTCGCAACTTGCAATAACATATGATATCATTAATGTAACTTTATTCTAATTACAGATCAGGTCGCTCTCAACAGCTACCCTTCATTTAAATATGAAAACTAGATAAAAAAGAAATATCAATATTTTTATATTTAAAAATAGAGAATCAAGGTACATGGCCAGAACTGAATATATAGTATGTAACTATGTGAGGAGTTTTAAATTATTTTTAAATAATACATAAAAAAATGTCTGAATTAAAAAAGTTATTGCTTAGTGTATTAACGATGAATATATTGATTTCACGGGTTGCTTTGATAATATCGAACCTTTTCGGTTAATTAAAGATAAATGTATGATAACGAATGCAAATAAAAATTCTTATCTCGAATATTCTAAATGTTGTAGATATTAAAGTAATAAATTATGTAAACTATATCACAGTAGATTTGTTTCATGGAGTCGAACCAAAATTTGAGGTGCTTTTTCAAAATTCCTATTAAAATAATAAATAGAATACCGATTCTAGAAATTGTTAGTATCATGTGTGTATAGGATAAAATTGGTTTATATTAAATGATAGAACAATTGAGTGACACGTGGAACCAAAGACAGACGGAAGATGAATCGAGTAAGAACCGAGACCGGGGGCAACAACTACAGTTGGCGTCGGATAGATCCCAAAGGGAGCATAATCAACGGGGCAAAATGAATATTTTTCACCAGATGGCATTTAATGAAGAATATTCCTTAATATAAAATAGGTAGCCGTTGCAGAGAATTTTGGCATTCATGGTCTGCCGTTACACCTTCATCAATGGCCCTCTTTATTTTTATTTAAGAGGGGTTTGATCCTAATATCATTTTCCCCAGGTATATCTATAAATAGTAGTTTCAATAACCATTCTAAAGGACGAAATCTCTAGCAAAACTTATGCTATACTTTATTCTCAAGCTAAATAATATAACTTTACTTTCTGTCTGATATTGCTCTTATTGCTGTCCTCGGAAGTATTGCTCTCGGAGCCAGGCTTGCCATTTCCTTTGATTCAAACGTTAAGTCTTATTTTTAATATTTATCATTTTGGATCAAATTAGTTCGCTTGTCTATAAACCACGCAACAAATTCAACTGTACCGTTTTAGGGGTAAACAATTTGGCACTCACCGTGGGGCTTAGATAGCTGCAAAATTGAATTGATCCTTGCATCTATTACTTACTCGTTTGATTCTTTGTTTTATAGCAAAAAATGGCAGCTAACGATGTCAACATCGTGTACAACGTTGAGGTACAGGAAAATCTGCCTCAACAAGAGGATTCAATTAGTGACACCTGCAACAAGGGGGACGTAGCAACTCCGGTCCATGTCGGATAATCCCCGACATGTGCAGGAGATGACTCCTGATGACGTTGAGGATGAGTTTGTTGTGAAAACGGTAAGGATATTGAGAGAGCAGTAAAAGGCCATCATGGGCCATCTCTCAAGGCAGGACCAAATCATGACAGAACTGAAGCAGGAATTATTAGGCGCTTCTAACAATGCAAACGGAAGAGGCTCGTTCCTCCCGGTTCTCCTGCAAATCAAACGGCTCAAAGAGTTGATAATAACACCCCCAAGGGGTGAAGTCAGCTTCGATGGAGCCGGGGGGGCTTGATAGCGGATCTGATAACGACAATGATAATGATCCCTTCAAAATCGAACTCATAAGATTCATGAGGGAAATGAACGAGCGGATAGATCAGAACGCGAAGGAGTTTCACGCTCGAATTGATCAAATTCCGGGCCCACCACTAGTTTTGAAGGGCCCAGATTCGAAGAAGTACACCCAGTTACTGTTTAAGATGAGCGCGACGCCAGAATTGATTTTGAAACGGCTCAAAATGTCGGACATACCAAAGTACGATGGGACTTCAGATCCTCAGGAGCACATCACAACATATACAATGGCAGTAAAAGGAAACGACTTGGCCCAGCATGAGATTGAATCGGTTCTACTGAAGAAATTTGGGAAAACCCTCACGGAAGGGACACTGATAAGGTATTCACTCATACCCGAGCACTCGATAAATTCTTTTGAAATGCTTGCAGATTCTTTCATTAAGGCCCATGCTAGGGACAAGAAGGTCCAAGCCCGAATGGCGAGAATCGCACAAGGCGAGTCTTAATTCCTGCGGGAGTTCGTGATCAGATTTTAAAAAGTACGAATGCCGCTACCGGTCGTACCAAACGTGTGGGCAGTGGAGGCATTCACTAAGGGTTTGAACTCGAAGAGCTCCGACGCCTCTCGAAAATTGAAGGAAAGCATGCTCGAGTTCCAAGCGACCACATGGGCGGATGTGCATAACCGCTATGAATCGAATATAAGAATAGAAGATGATCAGCTCAGCTTCCTGACATCAACCAAGGGATGTTTCACGACCCCAAATTCCCTCTGTAGGTGGTCGTGATGGCACCTAATCTCTAAAACTAGGTCGGCTTATCAATGCGAAAAAATTATAAATATCTGAAATAAATAAACTACAATTCAAATAATTACAACTCCCAAAACCCGGTAGAAATAAGTCACAAGCTTCTAAAAATTTATTCTCAATATTTCTATGTATCAAGGTCTAAAGAAAAATAAGGAAGCAACATAAAATGATAGAAAGGGACTCCGGAGTCTGCGGACGCTGGCAGATATACCTCGAAGTCTCCGTGCGCAGGTAACTCACTAGCGTCTAGACTGGTAAGATGTACCTGGATCTGTACAAAAAGATGTTCAAAAGCGTAGTATGAGTACACCACAGCGGTACCCAGTAAGTGCCAAGCCTAACCTCAGTAGAGTAGTGACGAGTTCAGGTCAGGCCCTACTAGAGAATAGATAATGACATGAAAAAATGTTTAAACAATTTAATAAGATAAAATGACTATGGAAATGAATCAAATAGTATGTCAAATTTTTTAACACAAATAATTGCAAATAATATCTCGTGGAATCAAAACAGAATTTTCTTTCAACTTTATGAAAATCACAAAATTAATCGAAGGCAACTATGGCCATAAATCAATATCAACAAGGGCACTACCGAGGTACCGCCTCGTAGTCCCAAATCATAAATAAATTCACAATATCTCATTTTCTTATATCACCGTGGAAGCCTTCACAATTAATTTAAAGAGAATATTATTCCTGAAATAGCATCTCGCGTTTTAGCCACCATTATCTCACTGCATGCGTTTCAATACCCAGACCTTATACCACTGCATGCGTATCAATATCACAATCNTGCGTATCAATATCACAATATATCATAATTTGCACCTCAAGTGCCCAATATTTTGATTTTTCCAAAAATAAATCGACAACAATATTTTTCAATAATAAAGAGCTCACGGTTCATGCCAAAATAATCCAACAATAATATTTTTTCACAATAAAGAGCTCACGGCTCCATTACAATGAGTACCAAAAATCTTACGAAAATATTCAAAAATAAATAATTCAGGAAAATAATATTTCAAAATCTTTAATACGTTGTTTCAATATCAAATTAAAAAAAATGTCAAATACTTCATATTAATAATATTTAATTTAAAGAAAATCAACCTTCAAATAATGCACAGTATAAAAGAAACCAAGTTTCAATTAAACAGGTAAAACAATTAGCAGGAAAAGGTCAAACAAATTTAAAGTATATATCTCAGATCAATGATGAAGAATATAACAAGATAAAATAATTTAATAAATGCGCAACAATGATCTACACAATTTAAAAATATAATCTTTCACATTTAGCCACTCACACAAGGTTAGACATCACTTACCTCGACTTGCTCCAATTTAACCAAGTAGTATGCTTTTTCCTCAATTTTCTGATTCCGGTTGACTCGTATCTAGTCAGAAATAATTCGATACCGTCAACAAAAATTATAGAATTAATTTTATAAGAAAATACTACATTTTTCAATAAAAATCCGAAATTAACTCAAAAATGGCATGTGGGGCCCACGTCTTGGAATCCGGTGAAAGTTACGAAATATGAACGCCCATTCAATCGCGAGTCTAACCATACCAAAATGACTAAATTCCAATAACAATTCGACCCTCAAATCCTCAAATCTATCCATGAGGGTTTTTCAAATTTTTCCAACTTAAATCACCAATTAAATGTTAAAACAGTGATGGATTCGGGTAATCTAATCAAGATTGAGTTAAGAACACTTACCCCGAAGTTTTCTCTGAAAGTCTCCCAAAAATCGCCTCAATCCGAGCTCCAAATCGTTAAAAATTGAAAATGGGACTAAGTCCCATTTTCTAAACTTAAACATTATGTCCAGTGGTTTCTTCTTCGCGAACGCAACCCTTGTCTCGCGTTCGCGAACCACAAATATGTGTTGCCCAACTTTCCTCTTCGCAAACGTGACCAATGCTTCGCGAACACGAAGCTTTGCAAACTCAGACTTTCGCGAACGTGTCCCTTATCTCGCGAACGCGTAGAACAAAAGACTGGGGTTCCCAGCTGCCTCGCTCTCCTTCGCCAACGCGACGCCACTAACGCATTTGTGATGCACACACTGCCCTACCCTTCGTGTTCGTGTTCGCGTCCTCTCCTCCGCGAACACATAGAACAAAAATTCACCAGCCCTAAACACTCTTCGCGAACGCAAGGCTCCTCTCACGAACGTGAAAGAGGAAACCAGAACAATTGCAGCAACAGATATCAGCCATCTCACAAAGGCCAAAAATGATCCGTTAACCATCCGGTACATGCTCGAGCCCCTCGGGACCTCAACCAAATATAGCAACAAGTCCTAATACATCATACGAACTTAGTCGAGTCTTCAAATCACATCCAACAACACTAAAACATGAATCACACATAGATTCAAGCCTAATAAACTTTGAAACTTCCAATTTCTACAAATGACTCCGGAGCCTATCAAATCATGTCCAATTTACCTCGAATTTTGCGCACAAGTCATAAATGACATAACGGAGGTACTCAAATTTTCAGAATCGGATTTCGACCCTGATATAAAAAAGTCAACCCTTCGGTCAAACTTCCCAAAAATTCAACTTTCGGCATTTCAAGCCTAATTCCACTATGGACTTCCAAATAAAATTCTGATCACGCTCCAAAGGCCAAAATCACCATACGGAGCTTTTGGAATCATCAAAATTCTATTCTGGGGTCGTTTGCACATAATTCGACATCCGTCACTACTTGAACTTAAACTTTTAATTTTTCATCAAAATTCCATATCTCGGACTAGGGACCTCGGAATTTGATTCCGGGCATACGTCCAAGTCCCAATTCCCGATACGGACATACCGAAACTGTCAAAACACTAATCCGAGTCTGTTTGCTAAAAATGTTGACCAAGGTCAATTCAATTGAGTTTTTAAAGCTCTAATTCACATTTTAATTCATTTTTCGCATAAAAACTTTCCGAAATATTTTACGGACTGTGTACGCAAGTCGAAAAATGATAAATAGTACTTTTGCGAGGTCTTAGAACATAAAAATAATTATTAAATTTAAAGATGACATTTTTTGGGTCATCACAGGATAGGACCGAGACAAGACCTGGGATAAGTTCAAGGATGACTTTGATGCAGACCGGCGATCTTCCAAAGGCCGATTCTTGCCTTACGAGAGAGCCAAAAGACACGATAGCAAAGGGTTTCGATCCTCAGATAGGTTCGCTCCCGATAGAAGAACTGACCGCGGTCGGAACAACCAATCGCTACAAGAAAAAGAAGTATCGGGGACCCGGGATTCCTCATATCCCAAGCTGTCATATTATAATTTCAACATTAGCGTAGTGGAGCTGGCATCGAAAATGAGAAACATTGAGGAAGCACGGTTCTCGAGGCCAATCATATCTGATCCCAACCAGAGGGATCCCAAATTAAGGTGTGAATATCATGGAACTCGTGGTCACAGAACTGGAGACTGTCGACATCTACGCGAGGAGGTGGCAACGTTGTTGAAGAACGACCATCTCTTGGAGTTCTTGAGCGATCGGGCCAAGAACAATTACAGCCTCAACCGAGATAATGCAGAGCCCTCGCAGATAGGAGAAGGCCCTCCTCAACTAGTGATAAGTGGGGATTTTGATTGCTTATTAGCGCTTTTGTTTTAGTCCAAAAGCATTGAATTGTGTTCCCGAAACTAATAAAATTGTGTGAAATTGCAGGAGTGCTGGAAGTTGGCCTCTCGAGATGAAAGACTAAAAAAGGAGTAGTCTGAAGCAAAAGGCAATAAAGGGTGCAGAAGCAAAAATGTGCGGTCCGTAAAAGGAATTCTACGGCCGCAAAAGAAATTGCGAACCGCAGAATTCCATCTGTGGCCGCAAACCAAGAGGAAGAATTTAGCAGAAATGTGCGCAAAATGTGGAACGCACATGAATTGTACGGCCGCAAAGCTGGGCTAATATTCGAAGATCAGAGAGTATGCAAAAAGACCAATTCCAGGAGCTTCTGTGAATTGCGGACCGCACAAGAATTGTGCGGCCGCAGAAGAGTTGCCTTGCAGCCACAGTCCTAATTGTGCGGACCGTAGAAGATTTTCCTTGCGGCCGCAACACAGAAATGTGCGGCCGTAGAAGATTGCTTCGTGGCTGCAGTTCAAAAATGTGCAGCCGCAAAACTCCACTTCCTACCAGATGAAGAATTCTGCGGACCGCATATGGAATTGTGCAGCCGCAGAACCTCCCGAGGGGTATTTTTATCCGACATTTTCAGCCTTGTATAAATAGACGAGTTTCACAAAATTAGGTCAAGTTTTGAACATCTGAAGTTGTTGTAGCTGTTTTTCTTGCTACTTTAGGAAGTTTTACTTTGCTTTGGTTTATTTACATTAGATTTAATCATTTTAAGCTTCCATTATGAGTTTAATTAATTTTTCTTCCTTATTTTCTTCAAATCCCATTATGAGTAGCTAGTCTTTTACTAGGGTTGTGACCCAACCCTTGTGTATAACCTTATGGGTATCTAATTTAGTACTTTTTTATGATTGGGTGTTGATTATTTAGTTAAGTTCATGCTTTAATTGTAGAATTAATGGTTGCAAACATTAGTTCATGTCTATTTGACTTAGTCTCTACTTGAGAAAGAGGGACCTAGTCTAGGATAACTAGCTACCAAGGAATTGAGTCAATTGAGAGATTGATGAACCCAATTAAAGGGTTCAACCTAGGGATGGTAATAACCCAACTTGAGCTCTTATCAACTGTTTTGGGTGATACCCATTTGGTCTTGAGAAAGCTAAATTGAGTATAACCACTCTCTGACAGAGAGGTATTGAGTGGGTAATGTAGAGTGGGTTATGGTCAAAGCCCTAGGCCTTTTACCCATTTGGAAAACCCTAAAAACAAATATATCTAGTCTATTTTCTTTATTTTGCAATTTTATTAACAGTAGAAATAGAAAACAAATCCCTGTTGTGGAAGTGCAAATTATATAATCCAATTGCTCATTTGAAATATATACCCTTAACTCCCATCTTAGCTCCCAGTGGATTCGACCTCGACTCCTAGTTATGTATTTATTATTGCATACGACCGTTTCATAGTTCTATTGAGGTGTGCCTTGGACGCGATCAATATTTGGCGTCATTGCCAGGGAGTTAAAAACGGTGTTAGCTATATATTTGGGTGTGTTTTTGTAATATCTTCCTTTCCTTCCATGTTACTAACTTGTTTGAAAAATCATAGCTACAACCATGGCGAACAATGAGCTCGAAAATTTGCCTTTAGGGGATGTGGACGTTGAGGATGACCAAGTTGATGAGGTTCCTCTTGAACCTCAAGTCAATAGAAAAGGCTGAGTGCCTCATGATAATATCCCCGCTCCACCTCCACCTCCACCATGAGTGGCTCCACACCGGGTGTTACCTAATGAAGGATATTCTAGTGCAATTGTCCCTCCCCATATTAGGGCGAGCAACTTTCAAATCACCAATGTGATGCTCACTTTGCTAGAGCAACGAGGTTTCTTCACCGGTGCTCCAAGTCAAAATGCATACAAATATTTGAAGGGGTTTGTGGACATGTGTTGGGGGAACAAACAAAAAAATGTCTCCGAGGATGCATTGTGGCTAAGGCTTTTTCCCTTCTCTCTACGGGGAAAAGCTTTAGATTGGTTAGAACGTTTTCCGAACCAATCCATTCACACTTGGGATGAGTTGGCGGAAAAGCTTATTTCTAAGTTCTTCTCTCCGAGGCACATGGCTACACTTAAGGATGAGATTTTGGCATTCAAGCAAGAGCCAAATGAACCACTACACAAGATATGGGAACGTTATAGAACAATGGTTAAGGAATGTCCTAACAACGATATGACGGAGAATATGATTCAACAAGCTTTCTATTGTGGGATTAACACAACCAACCAATGTGTAGTGAATCAACTTGCTAGTGGGAACTTCATGACTACGCCTTATGCGGAGGTGTGTGAGATTTTAGATGAAATGGCGAAAACATCATCGGCGTGGAAATCCCGGGCTAATGTTCCACAAGGTGATCCGAACGTGATCCACCTTCACAAAGAGTTGCATGACCATGGGTAAGCCATTGCCGAATTGACTACCACCATGAATTAATTAGAAAAGGCTCAACTTCAACAAGGAAAAATCCTAAGCAAGTCAATGCCATGGTGGGAGTGAACATAATGGTGAACAAAAGATGGATCAAGTATCCACAAGTGCGACATCGAGTGGAGAATTATGTGCAAGAAGATAGTGGTTTTGATCAAGATGATTCTTACAATGAACAAGAAGAGGAGGTGCAATATGTGGACAACTTTCAAGGGCAACGAAACAACTTCCAAGGCCAAAACCAACAATAATGGCGACCTCAAAACAATCAAGGCAATTGGAATTCTAACAACC